TTCATGCAATTTATATTACATGAATATCTCAAACCTCCCACTTGGATCTCTAGGTATACTAGTCTCGTATCTCAAGCCAGGTCTCTGCTGCTACTACCCGGTTTGCTGTCCCCAGGTCTTAGCATTTTCTAAGTTATCTGATACAGTGTACTTCTTACTACCCCCTAAGTACTCCCTTATATGGTATTCATCAGGACTATAGTTTGTAAAGACCCCTTGAGTTGCATAGTAACTACAAGGCTACATACTTCTAGCCATTAGCTATTTTCGTAATTTTGCTTTAATGATCTATCTTGTTAAAGACTAGCTTAACACCACGAAATTACTTAAGTGGCAAGCTAAATCACTTCTAGCTAGATATTTTCAGTTGGTGTCATATTAATGTTGGTAAATCCTAACTCTTTTTCATCATAGACTTCTATATAGATGTGACCAGAGTTCTGAATTGGTACCTTTAGACATACAGGGGTAGATTACGTTCTCTACGCTAAGTAGCCTTCTATAGTCATTCCACCGGTGCCAGAGGTGCTTTTAATTCTAGTTAAGACATGATCCTTTACCACAGCCATAGTTGTGTATCACTACTTCTCTCACTACTCCAATTTTGGTAGTATAGTATCACCCTTCTAAGCAAGTACCCAATGCTATTCCATATTAGGACTTATGCGCACGATTTATTGATCATTATTCCAAGCAAGTACCCCACAAGTTGGGTATAGGAATGTTGGTATTGCCAAATATAAAAGTGATAGGATGTTGGTATTGCCTCTGAGTCACCCCAACCAGAGGATTTACATATGCGATCTTCTACTGCTTAGACCTTCTGTGACGCTGCTGTCACACATAATACCTTTATTTCACAACCTGGTCTCCTTCTGAGAACTTCTTATTTTGGTTTCATACTGTATTTAGACTTTTCACAAGGCTTCACATCTGATTATATATAAATATATATATATATCTTTTTTTTATTATTATAAATAAAATTTTGTTAAATAAAATAAAGTAATATTAATAAAATAAAAATTATCTTGTTAGGGCAGTATCATTTATCGCCTAATTATTTTTTATCAGAGGCTTACCCCCTCCCCCTCTTAATATAAAAAAAAATCAGGTTCATATATATAATTTTAATTTTTTTTACCCCCTAAAAAATCACCTGATTTTTGTCACATCCTTTAAAATAATAATAATAAAAAAAGAAAAGTAAAACAAAATATTATATTAGCTAATAATTATAGTATATTCTCATAAAGGTCGATCAAAGTATAATTTTAAATGATTAGTATTAATTGTTTTTTTTACAATTTTATTATCTATAGAATGAAGTTTATAAACTTCTGGTGCAACTATATTATGGATATAATAAGGTTCTTTCTATTTTTCTTTGAATTTATTATCAGTACCTTGGCTTGTACTAATCGATATAATAGCACCTTATCTCCAATATGAAATACAATATTTTGTTGGGCTTTTAACTAAACTTGATGTAGTTTATTTGTAATAAGGTCAATATGACCTTGAAGCTATTGTTCATATGAGGTTTCTCAGCATTATTAGTAGAATTTAATGCTAAATCAAGAGGTATAATAGCTTTTTGACCATAGAGTAGTTTAAATAGCTTATATTTGATAGTAGATTGAAAAACTGTTTAGTAGACAAATAGAGCAGCAGAGATAAAAGTATCCCAAGAATTCTCATAGTCACTAACATACTTTGCTAAAATTGTATACAAAGTTTTGTTAAATCGTTCAGTTAATCTATTAGTTTAGGGATGATAGGCAGAAGCAAGCCAATGTTTAGTATTCATTAGTTGACAAAGAGAATCAACTAAAGTATTATAAAAAGATTTTACTTAATCAAATAACAATTTCTGTAGATATCTATAACGAACAATAATTTTATCATAGATAAACTTGGCAATAGTAGTAGCTTTCATATTAGGTATGGCTTTAGCCTTAGACTATTTTGTTAGATATTTAGTAGCTACAATAATATATTGATTTCTACTAGAAGTAATTTTTAAAGGTCTGATAATATTAATTCTAACTCGGTAAAATAGAGCTGAGACAAGTAATGGATATAAAAATTTGTTTTGTTTTGTCCCTTCTTGATATTGACAAGTATCATATATTTGAATATAGTTTGTAATACTTTTATACATTTTAGACCAATAGTATTTGTTTTTAGCACGATTATAAGTTCTATTAATGCCAAAATGTCCAGCATAAAGGTTAGAATGTAGACTATTCAAAACAGTAAGCAGCTCAGATTCCTGTATTACACGTAATAGTTTTTGTGATAACCCTTTTGGTTTCTTATATAATTGATTATTTTCAATAATATAGTGTGTTGCTTGTTTTTTAAATTGTTGTTGTTTCTTTAGATTCAAGTTTAGAGGTAATTTCGAAGTTGTTAAATAGTTAAGAAAGTTATGGTAAAGTATAAGTTCTATTTTAGTTAAAGCTTTTTAGTATTTTTCTTAGAGTAGTTTTCTAGAGAGATGAAAAAGAGTATCTATATTAGAATAAACTTATTCTTTATGATATATAACTGTGTAGGAGTAATTAGCAATCTATTGAATCTATTGAGTTATTTATTTGTTAGGGTTAGATTGGTTTAATAGCTAATATAAAGCAAAGTGATCTGTAATAAGTTTAAAAGATTTAAGGTAAATATAAGGTCAGAAATATTTAATTCACCATACTGTAGCAAGATATTCAATTTTAATTAGAGAATAATTGATTTCGGCAGAATTTAGAGACCTGCTAGCATAAGCAATTATATACTCATAGTTGTAATCATCCTTTTAAGCAAAAATAGTATCTAAACCTTGATATGAAGCATTAGTATAAAGAATAAAAGGTTTTGTAAAATCAGGATATTGAAGAATAGGTGCAGTTATCAATTTTTCCTTAAGAATATCCATTGCTTGTTGGCAAGTTTTAGTTCAAACAAAAGGAGTATTCTTTTTTAACAACTTGTTTAAAGGTTCAACAATTTATGAAAAGTTTAAAATAAACTTTTGGTAATAAGAAGCTAGGTCGATAAATCCACAAAGTTCAGTAAGATTATTGAGTATAGAATAGTTTTAAACTTTGTCAATTTTTAATAGTTCAAAAGCAATACCATTTCTACTAATAATATATTCTAAAAAGGCTAATTGTTGTTTTCCAAAACAACATTTATCCTTTTCTAATTTTAGTCTAGTATTTTGAAGACATTTAAAAACTTTCTTGAGATGCTCCAAATATTTCTCAAAAGTTTTTAAATAAATAGTAATATTATCAAGATATACTAAAATAAATTTATTTTTAAGATCAGAAAAGATTTTATCCATAACTTGTTGAAAAGTAGCAGGTGTATTTGTTAAACCAAAAGGCATAACATTAAATTCAAACAACCCATATTTGATAATAAAAGCAGTTTTTTCACAATCTTCAGACTTTATTTCAATTTGCCAATATCTACTAGCCAAATTGTGAGTAGTAAACCATTTAGCACCTTTAAGAGTATCCAAAATTTCATCAATTTGTAGTAAAGGATAAACATCTTATTTGGTAATTTTGTTAAGCTTCCTGTAGTTAATACAAAGCCTTAATTTACCATTTTTCTTTTTTACTAAAACAACAGAAGAGGCCTATAGGCTTTTTGATAAAGCTATAAACCTATTTTCAAGTATCAAAGAGAGTTTCTGTTGAATGAATTCATGTTTAGCTGGAGACATATGGTAGACTTTTTGATAAATAGGTAGAATATTTTTAGTAATAATTTGATATTAGTTCATAGTTGTTTTGCCTAGATTATTCATTTCTTTAGAAAACATATAGTCATTTTCAGTTAAAAATTATTGTAATTGTAAATTATTTTCAGAAAGCAAATTTGTTTCCTCAAAGTCCTCTTTAGTAGTAAAACAACTTATTGCTTCTCTCACTTGTATACATTTTGAATATATTTTTTGTGATTAAGCATAATAATATTTAATAGTTTGAGAATTACTAGCTTGTTCAGAATGAAGTTATAGTTATTAAAAAATTCATTTTGGTATTTAACTTGGGTATCATTGATTTCAAGTATAGGTTTTTCATCAGAATTTTCTATAACCAAAAATCCTTTGGATTCCTCTAGTTTATCATCAGATGATTCATATTCATCCTTACTATATTCATTAATTTTAACAACTAAAGTTTGATTATTTGAGTTATTAGATTCAGAAGAAATTTTTAAAGGAATAGGCTTACTATTATTATATTGTGGTTTTTTCTAACATGTAATAGGTAAAATATAAGATTTGTTTTTCTAAGTAAATTTAAATTGTCTCTTTTTTAAATCGATAATATCCAGCACTTTGTTAAGCCAATTGATTCTAGCAATTATAGCATAACCTTGTGCATCATTTACTTTTATATAAATAGGAATAGTAATATCAGATAATTGAAGGAGTATATTATTAATAATTCCCAGTAATTATTTTTTTCCACTATTAATATCAGAAAAATAAAGATTAAATAGTTTTTTAATAAACCGATTTAATTTGTTAGCAAAAGCTTTTGATATTATACTTGTAAGTGATTCTGTATCCAAAATTAAATAAAATAGAGTTTTATCAACACTGGTATTACAGTAAACTATATCTACAGCTTTCTTGAATTTTGGTTATTCATTAGTAGAAATCAGTGAAGATGCTGATTTAAACTGATTTTGATTATTAATAAGATTAGAATTATTGTCTTTTAAGATATATGATTGATTATTATTATAATTATTTAATAAAGAAGTAGATTTAGAAGAAGAGATTGATTAATAGACACTACTGCCCTCACAATATGCCTTTAGAAGTTTAAAGACTATACTAAGTTTTGAACAAAGTTTTGTAAATCCTTAGCAAAAAGTGTATAATATGTAGATTGAGGTTTTTGTTTATTTAAAGATGATTGTAATTGAGTGTTATTTTTTGATGGTTGATAATTATTATTATTAGTTTGGTTATTATTATATTGAAAGTTTCCTTTTCTTTAATTATTATTGCCAGAATTATTATTGTTATTCTTTTGATAACAATCGTGTACACTATGGCCCCATTTATTACAAATTTGATAAACAATAGTATTTTGTTAAGAAGAACCATTATTTGGATTATTGTTATTGTTATTACGATTATTATTATTGTTGTTACAATAGTTATTATTGTTATTATTTCAAGAAGTATTTGATTTTAGCTGGGGTTGCTGTTTAAAATAGTTTAAAATAGCCTAAACAGCTTGAAAAACTTTATTATTAGGCTGGTTATTAAAAAGAATAGTATTACCAGAATGATAGAAAGATGGAAAGTAATGATTAAGATATCCTCTATTTAAAGAATAAAAACCAAAAAGCATTCTTCGAGAAAAAGCAGCTTTAGCAGTTTTGGCACGAATTAACACTGGTCAAAATTTTTTAATATAAAAGGCTGATATTTGGAAGATAGCTAGGTGAAACATCTAAAAACAAACATTC